ATATACTTATTAGCAGTGATGTTTAGCATGATTGCTTTACTTAAAAAGATGGAATAGATTTCAATGAAATCTTTTCTCATGTAAAATTTACAACAATTAGGGTAATTCTGGCTTTACAGCTTAGTTTAATTGGGAAGTAGATCAATTGGATATAAAAATTGCATTTTTAAATGGTAATCTTGATGAAACTATTTACATGGAACAACTAAAAGGTTTTGAAATGAATAAAAATTTTGACCTTGTATGCCTTCTTAAGAAATCCTTATATGGTTTAAAACAAGCTCCAAGACAATGGTACAAGAGATTTGATACATTTGTGCTTGGACTTGGGTTTAAAAGAAGTAATTTTGATACATGTCTTTATTGCAAAGGTAATGGTGGTGAAAATTCACTCTATCTTCTTCTTTATGTTGATGACATGATTTTAGCTAGTCATGACATAAAAGAAATAGAGTTANCTTCTTCTTTATGTTGATGACATGCTTTTGACTAGTCAGGCATAAAAAAGATAGAGTCAATAAAAAACAATTTGAAATGAAGGACTTAGGTCCTATTAGGAAGAGTTTAGGTATTGAAATTAAAAGGAATAGAAGATAGGACAAACTAAGTTTAAGTAAAAAAATCTTATGTTTTGAAATTATTGGAAAATTTTGCTATATATGATGATAAAAATGTGAGTTTACCTTTAGCGAATCATTTTAAACTATCAATATCCCAAATCTGAAGATGAGTTGAAAAGAATGGCAAGAGTGTCATATCTTAATGCAGTTGGGTCTGTTATATATCTAATGGTTTGTTCCAGACCTGATTTGGCATACTCAATAAGTGTATTGAGTAGATATATGTCCAATCCAAATGAAGCTCATTGGGAAGCTATGAAATGGTTTCTTAGATACATTAAGATAACTAGTGACTTGGGAATACAATATAGAAAACAATAAGAGGGTGTTATCTTGAGGGGTTATACTGATTCTGACTATGCAGGTGATAGAGATAACAGGAAATCTACTTCTGCCTATATGTATATGTAATTCTTACATACGATGGGAATCCCAACTACAAAATATTGTTGCATTATTTTCTACTGAAGTAGAATATATAGCTGCAATTGATGGTATAAAAGAAGGAATTTGGCTTAAATGACTCTTAAATGAATTTAGTTTTGTTAAAGATGTTTTATATTTTGATAATCAATGTGTCATATATTTGAGTAGAAATCTTGTTTTACATGACAGTTCTAAACATGTTGATATTAAATTTCACTTTATTAGAGATGTTATCTCACAAAGTATTGTAAAACTTGAAAAAATTTCTATTCATTTTAACTCTGCTGATTTTAGTACTAAACTGCTGTCTTTAAACAAGTTCTGGACTGTTTAAGTCAGCTAAATATTAAGACTTGCTATTTTTTATTTATTTTTAGGAATAAGAGCAAATGATACTATGTTTGGAGGAATTACTATAATTGAATCTAGAATTATTGTATCAAGGTGGAGATTGTGGAGTAATGTAGCACAATGATTATTATTTCATTTGCTGACTGGATTATTATTTGTTGGGTTGGTTTTGCTGACTTTATTGGGCTGTTTGGGCCGAGTTCTTTAGTTACTTGGTGACTGTTGCCTTATTTGATTAAAAGTGTGTTCTTTTGCAGAAGTGTGATTTTCTTATTGGATTTGGACAGCCGATGTTGCCAACGCCCCAATTGTCGTTCGATTGGATGACCTTTTGGTGAGTTTCATATTACTTTTCGTTAGAGTTTGGATTAGGATGACTTTTTCATTCTCTCTCTCTCTCTCTCTCTCTCTCTCTGTGTGTGTGTCTTCGTTTTCTTCTCTCACACTTTGAACGGATAGCCTTTATTAATCCGATCATTTCAACTTTGTATAGATCTTGAGTGGTTTATATGTGTTGAAAGTTGTGTTCTTGAGTGAACATTTGTATAGATTGAAAGGCTTGTATTGATGAAATCTTGAGTCATTTTCTCTGAGTGCCGTGAAGCATATTCTAGACTGTTCATTGATTCTAGTTATTACAGTGATTTCTTCCGATGACAAAAGCTCAAAAGGGGATTAGGAACTACGATTCTGAACCTCTTCCCTTAGAACGAAAATCATCGTATTTTTACATTTTCTTTCGGTCTCTTGTGCTTTACTGTTTTTATATTTGTTGTGTAAAAGTGTCTAATATTTTGAACCTTGTCATAACACAAATTTTATCAAATTCCAAGTCGATGATGAATCCATGCATCTTAATTCAAGTTTTATAAAATTCTTGCTGGACACTATATCATGATGTGAAGTTTTTGGAGTTTGGCCTTGCTATTCAAACAACCGAAGCTTCTAGAATATTAGTGATATTTAACATTGGTCTACGTTATAATACTTTTGGCATTAAATCATAGATTTAATCAAATACAAGGATTCGTGATCCATAAAATATGACTTATAATATGGCAATACCCAAACTAGTATTCAGAGTGTGTTTGCGCCACATTATTTTGGAAAAATGTATTCTGGAATAGTAGATTGATGGAGAATTTGTGGTTAAAAAAAAAGGAAAAGTTATTGATGTGATGGAAAATATTATTTTATTGAACAATGTATGGTTGAAAATGAGTAGAAAAATGAAAAAAAAAATTTTAATACGTACCAAACATGGGCTCAACACTACTTATACTGAATAATATTATTTTAACTTTTATAAAATGCAAATAATAATTTTATATGATGGTGCGACCCCTCCCCCAACCCCATCCAAGGTTCTCTGCTATTATTGAACTTCACTTATATATGTTATAAGCTCTTTAAAACTTAGCCTAGAAAGTAATAAAGCATTTTATATTGATACTCTGTGTAGGAATAACCTTCAAGTAAAT